CTATTGTTGTAGTCTCCACACAGCGCGGTGTGTTTGGGGGAGACTCTGAAACGGAGACTCAGTCTGAGATTAAAGAGCTGTAAGTGCTGCTTTAAGCTGGTTTCAGTCTTTATATGTCGGTGTAACTGACTGATGAGGGTCTTTAAATGTCTGGTAGAGCCTCATTGATGGAAATGCTGCTCATCCTTCAGTGATTTAGAGGAGGAGCTGCTGTGATCGGGTTTGGGGAACTTATGTGTTTCTTCACGCTGTGTTTATTAATGTCTACCGTCTGAAATATTCAGATAGTTAATGTAAACATCTTAATTTATGTGTGTTTGGGTGTCTCAGATGGTGGTTTGTAAATGGGCTGTGTGTCTGAGGAGACGCAGATGTGGCTTTTCCCTTTCTGTGTATGATATGGAGGTGTTTTTATAAGAATACACGAAGCTTAAAGTGGGTTTATACACTGGCTGCGGCAGTTGATTACGTGATAAAGTGATTATGCTTTTTGTATTTATTTGTAGGATATGGATTAATCAGTCACTGCTTAATATAATCTTAAATGAGTGTTTATCCCGTAGCAAATGACTCAACCAAACTAGTCATTTGTTCTGGTTGTAGTGAGTCTTTTTAAGGTTGAACCTGATCCTCTACATTACAGATACATGGTGTTTTTATAATGGCATGAATCATATATTGACTTTCAGATGTTCTTTCAGTAAATTGTGAATAATGTTAGATTTGCTGTATTTTGGGACCCTTTAATTAATTAATTAATAAGGTAAACCTAAACACAAGTAGACTTTACACTAATGTTAGCTGTTTATACTGAGCTGATGTCAGAGAAATTACATTGTTGGTGGTTTATTGTCTGGAGCATCAGCCTTTTAAAGACATGAGTACAAAAATCTCAGATAAATGTGATTCAGACAGCTGCTTTATGTCAGCCAGATAACAGTTTGGGATAATAGCCGCTGTTAACAATGGAATCTAGCTAGTATAGCTAAATATTAACAAATTCTACCAGATTCATCATTGAATTCCAAGGAGTCCATTATATGTATGAATGTAGAGAATAAATAGTAGTTTGTTCTAGAGGAGGTGTAGTGTGTGTGAGAGCAGTTCAGGAGCTTGATGGTCTAGTTGAGATGTGATTGGGTGGGTAGTCATATTCATGCTTTGTGGTCTTAATAGTAAACAGTACTTCAGCACAATTAAATGCAGATTCATTGGTGTTTGAGGTAAAAATTTTCAGAGACTGACTTTTCCAAATACAGAAACTGATTTTCAGCAGAAAATTAGGTATCGCTTTAATAAAGAGTACGTGTCTAAAGCCATAGATGTATCTAATCAGGGTTAAATAATAAGTGTTTGGACAACGAGAATATTTGTAATTTTGCCTCTGTACACCACCACAATGTATTTGAAATGCCAGTCATGATTTGATTGAAGTTTAGATTTTTATATTTAAATCAGGTGTTTTAACAAAATGATTGCATTAACTTTTAAAGAATTAAAGCTGTTTTTACATAGTCTCTCCATTTTCACAGGCTCTTGAATCTTTTCAAAATTTCTGCATAATTAAATGGTGAAGATGTAAACGGTGTTCATTCAGTGTGGTTAGTTGTGAAACGCTCCATTTTAGAGAAACTTGGAGTCAGAATTGTTCACAGTGGCGGTGATAGGAACCAGATGTCTAAGGAGTGTAATTTCTCTGAAACAGTGGTGTCCTGTCTGATCCACAAAGTGCCGCTGTGAATCCTGTATTCATTCTAAACCAGCAGGAGCACACCTGACTTTTCTCTAATCTTTTGGTCTCAGTTTTCAAACAACTGATCAAGTGAGCTCCTGCTTTGTTAGAATAAAAACACAGCCACACTGGCCCTTTGTTGATCAGATTGAACACCCTTGCTCTAAATGCTCCCTCATAGAAGTTTATTACATGAAATGGTTATGAATATGCTGAATATGAATACTAAATATATATGAAGATTTTCATGCAAGGCATTTTAAAAAAAAAAAAATATCTTAATGCTGGAGCGGAACTTGCAGGATGTTGTTAGGCAAAATAGTCTACTATGAATTTTAGTCCCCTAAGAAAAAGAAAGCTCATATTTCAGATTTTCTACTATTTTAGCATCATCAACATTCTATGTAAAAGCTCAGAAGACACTTGTAGGTTCACTGGTGGTTTTGAATAGTAAATAAAATGGCTATATTTGTGTTGTAGTCATGGCGACCACTGTAAAGAAATCTGAACCATTTCACACCAAACCACTCTGAATTCCTCTTTAATGACGTCTCATTAACAATTCCAAAATATCTTAAACCCTTTATATTAATGTCACTCACCATTGCTGAAAAGTGTTCTACTGAACTGGAAAGACAGAACCCAAATCTCCATAAAGCACCGGCTTTAAAGATCACGCCAACCTGGACCGACTCAGAGCAGATCTAAATAAATAAGTAAGACTAAATCATTCGAGGAAACCCTTACTTTCTACAATATATTAAGAGCTTTTCCCCAACGTTTTACATACTATGACCATGACGTAAGTGAACTTATACATGTGTTTCTAATGTTTTCACAGAGAGAATGTGGGACGAGGAATTAACTCTCAATATATTGCAGAACATAAGAGTAGACTTCCTTGAATGATTGTGTTATTCATTTTTTTCCTCTTTTTTCTTTTTCCCCCTCTTCCTTTTCGTCACCACCTATCGTTTCTTCACTTGGGTAGGTTGAGTGTTTGGAGGGCATAGCTAAGGGGTGGGTGGAGTACACAGCTTCACCACTACTTGGAATATGTCCTACAATATCTACGCGATCATAAATTGTGACTGTAAATAGCAGTAAAATAACAGAAAAGAGTTTTTGTCCCCTAAAGCAGGGAGTGGTAGTGTGGTGGACATTCGCTCAGGTTTAAATAACAAAGCAAAAAACTGAATTTAGTTAGCCAGCTGGCTAAGCAATCTAGCTAATATCATACTTTCTAATGATCTTTCCAAGTGGAAGCATGTATAATGAAAACAGCACTGGACCTAAAATGGATCCTTGAGGAACTCCACAACTGATGGTAGAAGTAGAGGAATGGTAATTACCAATGTGTACTGTAAAAGTTCAGTTACAAAGATAGGACTTAAACCAGCTCAGCACTGTCCCATTGAGGCCTACCATGTGTTGAAGCTCAAAATTGTGCTTTTTAAGTAAAGGCTGGACAGCAGCATGCTTGAAACAAGCAGGAACAGTGCCGGAAGATAGGGAGATATTGATTATGAATAACAAACTGGGACCTAATGTGTCAAGTATTTCTTTCAAGAGAGAAGTGGGAATGATATCACTGGGAGAGGATGTAAGCTTCATGTGAAAAACCACTGATCTTAGAAATGAAAGGGAGATGGGCTCAAAGAAACTGAAATTGAAACACCACGATTGCACTATTTCCAATGTACAGTTATGCAAACTAATATAGTTATGAAATTAAAAGCTGTAACATGTACAATTTTACACATTTCCATGTATGCAATTTGTGAGTCTGATGTAGATAAATGAGATGCAGAGTACACAGGAGATAAGATAATCCTTTATTAGTCCCACAACGGGGAAGTTCTCAATACTAATAGAATACTGATATGTACAGATATGTCCAGATTATGCAAGATATGAGTAGATGTGCATCTAAATGTGCCAGCATAGATTTGCTAGACAGAAGTTACAGTGAGATCAAATTGAGTCTGTTTGAGGTGTGGATGCAGTGTGTATTGTCCATGGAGATTATCATCATGATGATTCAGACGTGTAGTGACAGGCTCACAGACCAATGCACCAGCACTACTGGCTATTAGGCAGTCTGATGGCCCGGGGAAAGAAACTGCCTTGGAACCGGCTGGTCCTGGACCTTATGCTTCTGTTTTTTCTCCCACTTGGCAGCTGTGAGAATAAACAGTGGCTTGGGTGGGTGGAGTCCATTAGAATCTTCTGGTGTTCTTCAGGCAGTGGTTGGTGTATAAATCCAGGAGGTTTGGAAACCAAATCCAGGTGGTGATGTTAAAATACTCTTCACAGTACATGTGTAAAATGTTCTGAGGATGCAGGGGTTCATGCCAAACCTCCTCAGCCACCTGAGGTAGAAAAGGTACTGCTGTGGCTTCTTTACCACCTGTGTGGTGTGTTTGGTCCGTGTCAGTTCCTCTGAAAAGTGAACACCGAGGAACTTGAAGCTGCTGACCTTCTCTACAGTGGCTCCATTGATAGTGATGGGGGTGTGCACTTTCTCTTGTTTCCTGAAGTCCACTATGAGCTCCTTGGTCTTGTTGACATTGTAGGCCTCCTCATTGTCATTGGAGATCCAGCCCACAATCGTGGTGTCATCTGCAAATTTGATGACAGTATGAAATGGTGGTGGTTTTTGAATGATCCCAGTCATTTTGACCAAGGAGAAATCCAGTTTAGTCCTGCAATTTCCAATATCAGCATAGCGACATGGCTTCAGAGGTCTATATGTATATTTAAGGAGCTTGATTTATTAGGTTATTGGCTTTTCCACATCAGATGGAAGTTTTCTTTCTTTACACTTTCTGCCAGTTGATGTAATTGTCGATTTGAATTTGACTAGTTTTGTTGCATTGCAAATTGAGTTTATAGTTTCCTTTTTTCTTCTTCTTGCAGAAATGAATGATAGCCTGTTTCAAGACTTCTCCTACACTTTTCTACTCAGTGTAAATGTGCTTCTGTAAACACGTCAGGAAATTCCACCAAGAGGAAAGTTAAGCTGCTGAAACAGGCGAGGTAAAAGAATATGGCATCAAGAAAACATACTCAGCAAATGTCATTTGGTACCCTCCACATGAAGACATCTCACAGACAAACACAGAAACACAGCAAGGAGAAAAATCACTACAGTTTGGAGTGTGGAAAGAGTTTTACTGTACCAAGTACTCTTAAAATACACCAGCGCCTTCACACAGGAGAGAAGCCATATCACTGCTCAGAGTGTGGGAAGAGTTTTACTGTACAGAGTCATCTCAAAGCACACCAGCGGATTCACACAGGAGAGAAACCGTATCACTGCTCAGACTGTGGGAAAAGCTTTACTATACAGAATCATCTCAAAGACCATCAGCGCATTCACACAGGAGAGAAACCGTATCACTGCTCAGAGTGTGGGAAGTGTTTTACTGTACTGAGTCATCTCAAAGACCACCAGCGTATTCACACAGGAGAGAAGCCGTATCACTGCTCAGAATGTGGGAAGAGTTTTACTAAACAGAGTCATCTCAAAACACACCAGCACGTTCATACAGGAGAGAAACCATATCACTGCTCAGAGTGTGGGAAGGGTTTTACTAAACAGAGTCTTCTCAAAACACACCAGCACATTCATACAGGAGAGAAGCCATATCACTGCTCAGAGTGTGAGAAGAGTTTTACTGAACTGGGTACTCTCAAAATACACCAGCGCATTCACACAGGAGAGAAGCCATATTACTGCTCAGAGTGTGGGAAGAGTTTTACTGTATTGAGTCATTTCAAAACACACCAGCGCATTCACACAGGAGAGAAACCATATCACTGCTCAGAGTGTGAGAAGAGTTTTGCTGTACAAAGTCATCTCAAAGACCACCAGCGGATTCACACAGGAGAGAAGCCGTATCACTGTACAGAGTGTGGACAGAGTTTTACTAAACAGACTCATCTCAAAAGACACAAGCGCATTCATACAGGAGAGAAACACTATCACTGCTCAGAGTGTGGAAAGAGTTTTACTCAAAAGAGTAATCTCCTGAAGCACCAGCGCATTCACACAGGAGAGAAACCGTATCACTGCTCAGAGTGTGGGAAGAGTTTTTCTGAACAGTGTAATCTCAAAATGCACCAGCACATTCACACAGGAGAGAAACCGTATCACTGCTCAGATTGTGAGAAGAGTTTTACTAAACAGAGTCATCTCAAAAGACACCAGCGCATTCATACAGGGGAGAAACCGTATCACTGCTCAGAGTGTGGACAGAATTTTAGACAACAGAGTAATCTTCGACTACACCAGCGCATTCACACAGGAGAGAAACCGTATCACTGCTCAGAGTGTGGGAAGAGTTTTACTCAAAAGAATAATCTCCAAAAGCACCAGCGCATTCACACAGGAGTAAAACCATATTACTGCTCTGACTGTGGGAAGAGTTTTACTGAACAGCGTAGTCTCAAAATACACCAGCGCATTCACACAGGAGAGAAACCATATCACTGCTCAGAGTGTGGGAAGAGTTTTACTGTACAGAGTCATCTCAAAACACACCAGCGCATTCACACAGGAGAGAAGCCATATCACTGCACAGAGTGTGGGAAGAGTTTTAATAGACAGAGTCATCTACAAGAACACCAACGCATTCACACAGGAGAGAAACCGTATTACTGCTCAGAGTGTGGGAAAAATTTCAGGCATTCAAAGACTGCAAAGACACACAAGTGCACTAAAAGCTGTGGAGAATATCAGCAGTAGTGAGTGTAACCTTACACATCCCAGATTTCTGTCTATTTTTGGGGAAAACCACCTCTTTATTTTTACACTATTTGTAAAACATAAGCATTAAATGAAATGTTATGTCCTATGCTGAACATCAAGTCAAGCCTAAAGCTCATACACCCAGTGAGAAGGTGTGGTACTGCATGTTCTCTCCAAAATGTTCACATTGGTCATGCTGTGGAAAACAAACCGAGAAGCTCCACATTCAATAATAAGAGGCTCTTAACTTTCTAATTCAGTAGATCTGAGCTAGTATAGAGTTTCTGATGCAGTGACGGATGTTTTGACAAACATTTGACAGTGTGTTTGGCTCTTTATCCTTCTATATCTCTCTCTCTCTCTCTCTCTCTCTCTCTCTCTCTCTCTCTCTATACCTCCCTCTCCCTCTCTCAGCCTGCTATTTCTTTCTTTAAACTTTTTAGTTAAACCTTTGCATTTGAGGTAATGTGTGTTGGGGGACATATTTACCTGTTCAGATTATCTTTCTCCATTTTTCTCTATGATTCTATACATAATGTTTTTGTTTTTATGTTCTTTTAAACTTGAAAAAAAATCCTATTAAATTTCATGATCTATTAATCTTTTGAAATTCATGGTTTAAATAAAGAAGTGGCACATTGTACTGTCACATTCCAAGCTCAGACTTGTTTATTTAAACCACCACCCTCTATGGAACTAACCAACAAGTCTTCCTACAGGCCATTGGAGGATTAAAATCATCACCTTTTATGACTACTTATAGGAGGTCATTTACCCTTTTTCAACTACCCCCTCCCCCATTAACACCATAAACACTCCAGAGTCGTAATGCTACAGCTCTTCCTTTTTGTTTGAATCAAGCCATGATATGGTTGAAACATCTATCATAAAATTGCCACCTTCTCAAAATAATATAAACTCAGAACTACCCCTAAAGACAAGAACTCTTTATGATGACCCAGAGAGTTCAGGAATCATGCCTATGCTGCACTCCAAAGATGGAGAAATAAATAAATAATCCATAAAATTTATTTTTATGAAAGACTCTGCTTCTGTCACATGTCCACAGTGCCATCCTGTGGCTGAAGTGGGAACTGTCATATGTTTAAAATTTAAGGCTTTCAGAGGACTCATATTTTGGTTAAATATCAAATATTGAAAGGGTTTTCTGGGTCTGTAGTCATGAATTTGTTGCTCCCAATTGTCACTGAAATTGTCTTAAGCTTCACTAAGATGTAGTTAGTTCTTATATAACTCTGAATTGCATATTTGTGTTTTGGAAAGACTTAAGTACACAAAAACGTCTTCCTTTAGTGGTCAGGAAGAGGATGTAATTCCAGCATTAATAGTTTGTTCTTAATAGTCTGTTATGAATTGTGTAATCAATGTTTTTTCTTTAGCATGAGTAGAATGTACTTGCATATAAAATGATGCAGACTGTAGTAATGTGATTGTCAGTGTGCTAAGTTTAATTTCCACATATTATACTGCTCACCTTAATATAAGTTATTAGAACTGTCATTGGTGTGTGTATTATGGCTAGTTCCAGACTAATGCTCCTTTCCCTGCTGCTATACAGGTTAAGTGCTTACCAAACTATGGCCAATGTTAAACTTCCTGGCTAAGGTAGCCAGGAATTGAATTTTTTTCTTCTGAGACTTGATTGAGTCTGTGATACTTTGTATCTGAAAAAATTATCCAGGGCCTTTGGAAGAATAACTGTCCACCAATATTTAATGCATCTATATTTTAGCGTTTCCAAGCTTTGATCCTGCAGTCTCCCTGGCAGGTAGATTTTAGATTATCTCAGCTTGGATCCTGCAGTCCCCCTGGCAGGTATGTTTTTGGCGTTTCCCTGCTTTTATTCTGCAGTGCCCCTGGCAGGTATCTTTTAGTGTCTCCCAGCTTGGATCCTGCAGTCCCCCTGGCAAGTATGTTTTTGGCGTTTGCCTGATTTGATCCTGCAGTCCCCCTGGCAGGTAGATTGTAATGTCTCCCAGCTGGGATCCTGCAGTCCTCCTGGCAAGTATATTTTAGTGTCTCCCAGCTTGGGTCTTGCAGACCCCCATGGCAGGTGTTTTTTAGCGTCTCCCAGCTTGGACCCGCAGTCCCCCAGCAGGTAGATTTTAGTGTCTCCCATCTGGGATCCTGCAGTCCCCCCCAGCAGATATGTTTTAGTTTCTCCCAGCTTTGATCCTGCAGTCCCTCAGCAGGTAGATTTTAGTGTCTCCCAGCTGGGATCCTGCAGTCCCCCTGGCAGGTATGTTTTTGGCATTTCCCTGCTTTGATCCTGCAGTCCCCCTGGCAGGTGTATTTTAGCGTCTCCCAGCTTGGACCCGCAGTCCCCCAGCAGGTAGATTTTAGTGTCTCCCATCTGGGATCCTGCAGTCCCCCCCGGCAGATATGTTTTAGTTTCTCCCAGCTTTGATCCTGCAGTCCCCCAGCAGGTAGATTTTAGTGTATCCCATCTGGGATCCTGCAGTCCCCCCCGGCAGATATGTTTTAGTTTCTCCCAGCTTTGATCCTGCAGTCCCCCAGCAGGTAGATTTTAGTGTCTCCCATCTGGGATCCTGCAGTCCCCCCCGGCAGATATGTTTTAGTTTCTCCCAGCTTTGATCCTGCAGTCCCCCAGCAGGTAGATTTTAGTGTCTCCCAGCTGGGATCCTGCAGTCCCCCTGGCAGGTATGTTTTTGGCATTTCCCTGCTTTGATCCTGCAGTCCCCCTAGCAGGTGTACTTTTGGCGTTTCCCTGCTTTGATCCTGCAGTTCCCCTGGCAGGTGTATTTTAGTGTCTCCCAGCTGGGATCATGCAGTCCCCCTTGCAGATATGTTTTTAGCGCTTCCGAGATTTGATCCTGCAGTGCTTCTGGCAAGTAGATTTTAGTGTCTCCCAGCTTGGATCTTGCAGACGCTCATGGCAGGTGTATTTTAGCGTCTCCCAGCTTTGATCCTGCAGTCTCCCTGGCAGGTATATTTTAGTGTATCCCAGCTTGGATCCTGCAGTCTCCTTGGTAGGTAGATTTTAGTGTCTCCCAGCTTGGATCCTGCAGTCCCTCCAGCAGGTAGATTTTAGTGTCTCCCAGCTAGGATCCTGCGGTCCCCCCCAGCAGATTTGTTTTTGGCGTTTCCCTGCTTTGATCCTGCAGTCCCCCTGGCAGGTATCTTTTAGTGTCTCTCAGCTCGGATCCTGCAGTCCCCCTGGCAGGTATGTTTTTAGCGCTTCCAAGCTTTGATCCTGCAGTCCTCCCAGCAGGTATATTTTAGCATCTCCCTGCTTTGATCCTGCAGTCCCCCTGGCAGGTATCTTTTAGTGTCTCCCAGCTTGGATCCTGCAGTCCCCCTGGCAGGTATGTTCTTCACATTTCCCTGCTTTGATCCTGCAGTCCTCCCAGCAGGTATATTTTAGCATCTCCCGGCATTGATCCTGCAGTCCTCCCGGCAAGTATATTTTAGTGTCTCCCAGCTTGGATCCTGCAGTCCCCCAGCAGGTAGATTTTAGTGTATCCCAGCTTGGATCCTGCAGTCCCCCCTGGCAGGTATATTTTAGTTTCTCCCAGGTTTGATCCTGCAGTCTCCCCAGCAGGTAGATTTTAGTGTCTCCCAGCTTGGATCCTGCAGTCCCCCAGCAGGTAGATTTTAGTGTATCCCAGCTGGGATCCTGCAGTCCCCCTGGCAGGTATGTTTTAGCACTTCTGAGCTTTGATCCTGCAGTCCCCCATGGCAGGTATATTTTAGCATCTCCCGGCTTTGATCTTGCAGTGCTCCCGGCAAGTAGATTTTCGTGTCTCCCAGCTTGGATCCTGCAGTCCCCCATGGCAGGTGTATTTTGGCGTCTCCCATCTGGGATCCTGCAGTCCCCCCAGCAGGTATCTTTTAGTGTCTCCCAGCTGGGATCCTGCAGTCCCCCTGGCAGGTATGTTTTTGGCGTTTGCCTGCTTTGATCCTTCAGTCCCCCTGGCAGGTATCTTTTAGTGTCTCTCAGCTTGGATCCTGCAGTCCCCCTGGCAGGTATGTTTTTAGCGCTTCCAAGCTTTGATCCTGAAGTCCTCCCAGCAGGTATATTTTAGCATCTCCCAGCTTTGATCCTGCAGTCCCCTCGGCAAGTATATTTTAGTGTCTCCATGCTTTGATCCTGCAGGCTCCCTGGCAGGTATCTTTTAGTGTCTGCCAGCTTGGATCCTGCAATCCCCCTACTAGGTATGTTTTTCACGTTTCCCTGCTTTGATCCTGCAGTCCTCCCGGCAGGTATATTTTAGCATCTCCCGGCATTGATCCTGCAGTCCTCCCGGCAAGTATATTTTAGTGTCTCCCAGCTTGGATCCTGCAGTCCCCCAGCAGGTAGATTTTAGTGTATCCCAGCTTGGATTCTGCAGTCCCCCTGGCAGGTATGTTTTTAGACCTTCCAAGCTTTGATCCTGCAGTCCCCCTAGCAGGTAGACTTTAGTATCTCTCAGCTTGGATCCTGCAGTCCCCCTGGCAGGTATGTTTTAGCACTTCTGAGCTTGGATTCTGCAGTCCCCCATGGCAGGTATGTTTTAGTTTCTCTCAGCTTTGATCCTGCAGTCTCCCCAGCAGGTAGATTTTAGTGTCCCTCAGCTTGGATCTTGCAGTGCTTCCATGGCAGGTGTATTTTAGCGCCTCCCAGCCTGGATCCTACACTCCTCTCGGCAGGTAGATTTTAGTGTATCCCAGCTTGGATTCTGCAGTCCCCCCCAGCATGTATGTTTTAGTTTCTCTCAGCTTTGATCCTGCAGGCTCCCCAGCAGGTAGATTTTAGTGTCTCCCAGCTGGGATCCGCAGTCCCCCAGCAGGTAGATTTTAGTGTCTCCCAGCTTGGATTCTGCAGTCCCCCCTAGCATGTATATTTTAGTGTATCCCAGCTTTGATCCTGCAGTCTCCCTGGCAGGTATATTTTAGTGTCTCCCAGCTTGGATCCTGCAGTCCCCCAGCAGGTAGATTTTAGTGTCTCCCAGCTTGGCTCTTGCAGTCCCCCTGGCAGGTATGTTTTTAGACCTTCCAAGCTTTGATCCTGCAGTCCTCCCGGCAGGTATATTTTAGCATCTCCCGGCTTTGATCCTGCAGTCCCCCCGAAAAGTCTATTTTAGTGTTTTCCAGCTTGGATCATGCAGTCTCCCATGGCAGGTGTATTTTAGTGTCTCCCAGCTTGGATTCTGCAGTCCCCCTGGCAGGTATGTTTTTAGACCTTCCAAGCTTTGATCCTGCAGTCCTCCGGCAGGTATATTTTAGTATCTCCCAGCTTGGATCCTGCAGACCCCCATGGCAGGTGTATGTTAGCGTCTCCCAGCTTGGATTCTGCAGTCCCCCTGGCAGGTATGTTTTCGTTTCTCCCAGCTTTGCTCCTGCAGTCCCCCCAGCAGGTAGATTTTAGTGTATCCCAGCTTGGATCCTGCAATCCCCTATTATATAAGAAGACTACTTTTTACATGCTTAATTATAGAATACAAATTTGCTTTGACTGATAGCAGTTAATTATGGCTGATAAACATTAACTGATCCTCATGTGAAGAGCCATGAACATCAGTCTGTACAGATGGATCAGTTAGTGAGATCAATATCAGCCCCATAATCCCATGTTTTTATTCATTAGTAAATAATCTATCAGCGGCTGATAGATCTTCTATCTCATTC